CTTCCAACCCCACGTCTTTCTCCCTTTTATTTACCAGCTTATGATGGTTAGATTAGGGCATGTTTCAACTAGCATACTTATGCTTGCATGTTTGCATCATTCATCTGTCTTGCATGCACCGGGCTCGGCGCATCATACTAACTGCATTTGTATTTCAATTCCAAATTGAATACGTGTTAGTTGTAGCATCATCACATGTCATCTTTAGAATAGCCGAGCCTATTGTAATTGTATTCTTGCATGTGTTGCATTAGGCATCTCAGCATAGTTAGGATCATGCATAGATTTCTAACACAACTTTTGTTTTGGCTTGGAGTACTCGGTAAGTTTTATGCTTTAGCATCATTACATGCGTGTGAGTGACTGCCATGATAGCATGCTTACCATGAGGCTAACTGTTTATGTGATATAACTTCCTGAATGCCAGTGGGTAGAGGTTGGGTTATTTGAATTGGAACAATGCATTGAATGCGAGTTTTAAGCCCACTTGATAGTGGCAAAATCATGTTTTCTAAACCCACCCGATGGTGGCAAAATCTACATTTCTAGCCTACTTGCGAGTAGCAAACCGCTTTAAAAAACAAACATGAAATGTTTTGTTCCAATTCAAGTGATCCAGTCTATACTTGTATGCTATACGCATCACATAGTAAATCTAGGCTAATAACCGGAATAAGAATGCATAATGTTTTCAAAACTCGATATCATGGTTAGTAGAGGCCGATCTTTGATCGAGCGAGCGGGGGCGCTCATGAAGTAACCTTCCCTAATCGTACCCAAGTTCCCAAACTGAGGCAACTTTGGTGATGACGGACACGTGGCCTTAGGCAACGAGTCAGGGTTTCCTAAATTTCTCAAAATAAAATATTTAGCTGGCGACTCTGTATCTGGCAAAGTAGTCCATGTTTGGCACTTCTTTCAAAAAAATCTGTTTTCAAAAACGATTTGCCGGATTTGGACTCTTTGATGATTCATCGGTCTTGCATTGCACTTTGCGAGATTAGATACATGACCGTGACTTTGAGTCCTGAACTGTGGTGAGCCCAAATGAACAAAACGGGACTCATCCTCCCGGGACGTTCGGGGACGTCTACACCCTCATTCTGATCTTCCAATACAAGTAACTACTCCCATCAAAGGTGGGAGCACAGTGCAGATTCTAACCACAAGCAAATTCCACTGGCTTCGGAAGAGGTTAAGTGAAAGTGGACCAGAATGCCATGAAAGCACTATCCTTGTCTTCACTGGATTCAGTTTCTTCGAGTGCTTACTCCGACCCGCTTTCATCATCCCAAGTCACTGTATAGACTTTCTTCCGATTCTTTTTTAAAGGACATTCAAGAGTAATATGTCCCAACCCTTGACATTCATAACACTTGACCCCTTGCCCCTTTACAATCTTCTTTTCAGTTTTTGGGGCAAGTTTTGGTGGAAAAGTTTTGGGTTTATCATTACTCTTGTCTTTTGAAATAGGGTCTCCGAAATTAGGCTTCTTTTTCTTTAAAATTTTTTTGAACTATTTAGTAAACATAGCCGTCATCTCAGACTCTAGATCAAACTCAGTCTCAGGAGTTTTTGCAGTCTCATGAGCACTAGTGAAAGCCACACTATCTTTTTATTTTTTCTTAGAAATCTGGTGGGCTTCATAAATCTGCAAGTTTCCAACCAACTGATCATGCTTGAGGGTATCAACATTCTGAGCCTCCTCAATAGCTCTCACTTTCGATTGGAACCTCTCGGGTAAAGACCTCAAAAAATTTCCAACAACCTTAGCTTCAGGGATTTTTTCACCGAGTGTGAAACAAGAATTCATAATATCACTGAGTTTAGCATAGAAATCATCAAACATCTCATCATCACACATAAAAAGGGTTTCAAAGGCAGAGGTGAGACGTTGAAGTTTTGACCTTTTAACAGAAATAGTACCCTCGTGAATCGCTTCAAGAATGTCCCAAGCCTCTTTTGCTACCTCACTCGTACAAATACGACGAAACTCTTCAGGTGTGACGAAGCGAAAAAGGGAATTGAGAGTCTTACTGTTCTAACTCGAGTTTTGATAATCGAATGCGTCCCATTTATCAAGGGGTTTGGGAATATCAATGCCATCAATGGTGACAATAGGTTCAGTCCGCCCATAGATCACACAGTGCCAAACTTTATCATCGATAGATTTTAAAAACGCTCTCATACGAGCTTTCTAATAAGAATAGTTTGTGCCATCAAGTGACGGAGGTCTATAGGTCGAGTTAACTTCACGAATTGAATCCATATCACCAATCACACAAAATCACACTCCTATGGTTTTGATAAAAACAAAGAGAGACCCGCTCTGATACCAATTGAAAAACCTAAGTGATTCGTGATTAGATCAAGATTTAATTATTCCAATTCCTAATCAACTAAAACACATAATCTAAATCATCAAGCACTTACAAAAGTGATTTAACTTCTTATTTTCAAAAAACAATAAATTGACACAAATGATTTTTACGTGGAAAAACCACAATTGAAGCACCTTCAATTGTGATCAAAAAATCACAGGCGAAACGCTACTAATCAATCCACTACTGAAGAAAGAAAGATTACAAAGATAATAAACAAATTACCCAAAACGTTTTCAATTTGTCTTCAAATCTTCTGGTTGAATCCACAACTTCTATTGTCGAATCAACGACCACACACAGTATCAAACTCCTTTGATACTCTACGCTTAAATCTCCGGATTCCACCAAAGAAGAACACTCTTAAATATAAACAAACAAACTCCTTGATGTATACTTATCAACACATGAGTTGAATACTCAATATAAACATCAAGGAAAACTTGCAAAACAAACCCCAAAACAAAACCCTAGAGCTCTCAAAACAGATCTAGGAGACATAACCTTAAAATAAAACTTAAACACATATATATAAAAAACAGGGGCCGCATACTCCGCTCGAGCGCAAAACATTCCGCTCGAGCGGATCCACTAAAACACGCGTGTGAATAAACAGGTTTCTGCTCGAGCGCTGGAACCCACGCTCAAGCACAAAATCACACTTCTCAGTATTTTTGCAGACACGCCCAACTACTGAGATAGTGCACATTCTGCTCGAGCGCAAATGGTCCCGCTCGAGCGGGAAAGCCAAAAAACAAGGAAAAATTACAACTCTATAAAACAGAGTTTGTTCGTGGATTTGGCAACAAAGGGACCTAACAGAAACATTTATCAAAATCCAACCAATTCTACATTATTAAGCTCAAACCATAATTAAAATCTTGAATTGCTCTAATCTAGATTTTTATTAATTTTCCTCATATCAAATCCAAATTCAAACTCATAAAAGATGAATTAAAATCTCAAAATCTTGAAATTCCATGATATATGTTAAGATAGAATTCAAATTGCATGGAAGAGTGAAGAAATTAAACTCAAATAATGAAATTCCTAAGTTATTTCTTTGATTCTTCAACTTAATGTAATTTCTTCATTCTTTTCTTAATTTCTTTCTATTTATATGAAATTGAACCAAATTACTTCTTGATTTGAGATGAAGGAGAAGATTTACTACAAATTGGAGTTAGAAATCTTACCTAGAGTTGTTAAATGATTAAATCTCATCACAAATTCTTGAGTCTCACTTCTTTTCTTTATTTCTCCTTTGCTTTCTTAGTTGTTTATCTTGAATTCTCACTCTCGAGCAAACTCTTTTCCAGAAACAAAGATGAGGTGAGCTCTCTCTCTCTCTATAGGTTTTCTTCTCTTTTTCTTTTTGAGTTCTTGGACTAAATGGTATACTCCACTCTTCAATTCATCACATTACACATATTATTCACATCCCCTGTTTTTTATTACATGTGCACACATACACTCTTGTAGCACTTCCAGCACAACAGTTAACATGCACACACCCACAAAATTTTCTCTGCACACCTACACCCAATTACACTCTCAATTCTAGGTTGTTCCATAATTCAATTTATGGTCTTAGAAAACATCTTAATTAGCACATAATTAAATTGGTTATAGCTAATCATAAATCTCACATAATTTAATTTTTTAAATTTGACTTTCATTAGAATCCAATTAATTATATTTAATTTTTCTCAATCTGAATCAGATTTTTAATCAAACTCCCAAAAGGCTTCAAATTCCCAATTAAACTTATCACCACCCTCAATTTTGGTTTCTCACATCATTAAGGCCTTTAATTTTAGATCGAACCCAAAATCTCCATTAATAAATTACATATTCAATTGAACACCTCATAAATAAATTTAATTTATAATTCGTATAACTTAATTAAATCCAATTCGGACCCGATTAATCAAATCTCAATTTTATAAATCCAAATCGAATATTTAATTAAACTTCCATATGGTCCAATACTTGAAATTAAAATAATTTAATTCACCATTTGTACTATCATGAGTCATTTAGGCTTTCAATTTCTAATTCTAAAATAAATCCTCAATAGAATCATATACGAATCAGCCTCCACAATTTTCATAAATTTTAAATTAAATTAAAATAATTAATAATTAAAATTCAATCTCCTTAATTAATTAAGTACTAATCATTATACGTAATGGGGCCGTCATAGTTGGCCGGCCTTAACTGGTCTAGTCTAACTTTGGAAAGGGATATTTGGACCACCATGCATGTCGCCTAAAGACATGGGGTGACTCAATCACATGATTACTGCATTTTTTTTTTTTTTGAAAAAAAAAAATTCAATTCAATGGTTATACTATCACCGACTAATAATTTTTCATCATTTTTTCTCCAATGATTTATTGTTTATTGGGATATCATATCATTGATATTACCGTTATATTAAATGTTTACTTGTTCTTTAGACCTTGTTGAATTAGATCAATTTTAAAAAAAAGTTGTTGAATGACTGAAATTAATTAAAATGTGTTATGAAGTCTGAAGATAAATTGACTAGTTGGGATAAGAATACAAAATTGACATAGAAAACAAGCTCGTTTATTTAATAAAACTTATATAAAGAAATACATCATGATTTAGCATTTTGGCATACAAATCACCAGATACAGAAAGTAAATAAATAAAAAACTACATAACTAATTTATTTAAGAGTTAATTTTTTAAAATAAAGTTTTTTTAAATAAGAAAACCACCTTTGGAGTTCAATCAAATAAATGAGAAATGAGATGCAACCAATAAGACATACAGAAATTGCGAGGCCTAAAGAATGTGATAACACAGCATAAGAGCCTGTAATGAACGCGACTATCAGCGCTGCCACGGCAATTAAAAGAAGAAATAAGGCTGTGAGATAGCGAGACACCATCTTAATCCTGGAAAATTTATCATCAAATCCGATAACATGATAAACTGGCGCAGTGACGTATAGAAACACAGAGGAAGTGGAGCATATCGCGGCTATGGTATTTGCAATGACAAATAGTTTGAAAGCTGCTTTTGTTATTAGAAGTGGCATTCCTTGTTTTGAACCTTCATTGCTATTATAACCTCCAGGCATTGTGAATCCGACCGCAAAGCTAATGGTTGCTGTGAGTGTTGCCACTATCAAATGGGTGTCACTCATTTTCTTGACGTCCTGGAATAGTGTTTTACTTGGTTCTTTACAAATTTTCTGTCTTTCTTCTTTACGAACCCTTAGTTTTGTTATCAACTCTTGATCCCCGCTGACTATATTTCTCCCACCACAAATTCCAAATCTCACCAACTCGGTATCCTGTTTTTTTTTTTTTTTTTTTTTTTTGTTTATTTTAGTTTGGAAAGCGAAACCAAATAATATATATTGTGATGAATCTGAATTTCTACAAAGCCCACCACTAAAACAACAATAGACTCATTCACTTTCTTCACATTTAAATTCAAGAAAGGCAATGCAAAAACTAGAATTCTAAAGGCCATAAAAGAGAAAAGAATTTATGACTTTTAAATTCATAGCAAATTATATATTAATGAGTAAGTAAATGCATTTCATATACTTTCTTTCTTTCTTTTTTTTTTTTTTGTTTATTAAATTCATTAAAAATAGACGTAAAATCACAGATGAAAATATTATAAAGTGACATGAATCATTTCATATCAGACAAAAGACTACTTCTATAATAAACACCCTCAAATATGGGTGTAAATCACATTTTGTGGTTAGGCTTCATTTGGTTAAAATCAATATGTCAACTTATTTTATGTTTTTTTGAAATTTTTTAAATTTCAAATCAATTTTTTATTTTATTTTTTTTACTTTTAGATTCTTATCAACTAGACAATTTCAAAAATCAAAAAAAATTAACTCAATATTGAGAAAAATCACTATAGATGAAATTAAGTCAAATTTTATCAAATAACATACTTTTAAAAATCATCTTATTTTTTATATTTATTTTCAGAACTTTTTAAAATATATATATATATATATATTTGAACTTTAGGATCATCTAGTTGAGATAGATTTAAAAGTAAATAAATTTAATATAATTTTTTTAAAAAAATACTAAACTGAAAATAACTCAAACTGCAAAAATTCAAAAAAACCAATTTCTTCCTTGGCAGCTTGGAACTTCATAGGCTAAAGTTCCTTGGGTGCATAACGCTCTTAACAGAGTCATTGCTGCTCGTGAAGGACTTCGATGGGTCCTTGCCATGGAAACGGGTTTCATCTCAAAAATTGGTTGGTCTCTGGTCAAAGTTTTGAATTGGATGGTCTAGTTTTTATGGATGTGGGTACACTAGTCTCCCGAGACCTATTTTAGTGATTTCAATTGTTTACTTTGTAAGTTCTATCAAATAGATTATCTATTTAGGAAATTAAGTTGATCCGATATTAGAATTATGAACAATCTTTTGTATATTGTGTATTTTGTTTTGTGCAAAGGTATTATTATTAAATGGCATGGCTCATTTCATTGCTAAGAAAGAGCTGTTGGGAAGGGTAGAGAGTGTTGGGACTTTTTCTCCCTCTATCTTATCCATTCGGAGAGTATGAATGCCATGTTTAATGTATGATGATACTGTTTGACAAAAAAATCAATGAATAATAAAAGTTCATATGTTTTTTTTTAACAGAAAAAAAAAGGCTCCGTTTGGTAAGCCTCTCAAAATATAATTCTACCCATTGATTTGAGTGTGTTGTTTGTTTGGAGTTTTCAAATCATAATTTTACACTCATTTCTCAAAACTCAATTTAAAACATAATCATTACTTTTCAAAACTCATAACCAAATACATAATTCAAAACTCTTTTCAAAACTCAATTCAAATCAATATTTTAATTTTTTAAATATTTTAAATATTTAAATATTTTAAAAATATTTTAATTTTGTTAAGATTTTAAATATTTTAATATCTAAATATGTTACGATTTTTTTAATTTTTTGAATATTTTAAAATATTTTAATTTCAAAATATTACGATTTTAATTGTTTAAATTTTAAAATATTTTATAAAAATATATTCAAACTCTATTTTATAAAAATATTTTTAAATATTTTAATTTTTTTGTTGTGTATTTAGTTACGATTTGAGTGTAGAGTTGTGAAACTAGTATGGAGTTTCGAGTTATGTGTATGGTTATGAGTTTTAAAAATAATTTATTAATTGACTTTTATTTTATGTGTTTGGTTACGATTTGAGTGTAGAGTTGTTTTTAAATTTAAAATATTAACATTTTAAATTATTTCAATTATTTGAATATTTAAATTATTTAAATTTTTTTGTTAAAATAATCATTTGAATATTTAAATTATTTAAATTTTTACGATTTAAATTTTTTGAATATTTATTTTAAATTTTTGCTTATTAATTTTTTTAGATTATTTACATTATTTAAATATTTAAAATTAATGTTATTTTCTGTTAATAATAAAATTTTTTAATTGAATTTTAAAAAGAGTTTGGTTATGAGTATTGATAAAAATTTTCAATAGTGTGAAAGTAGTGTATTTTGTTATGAGTTATAATAATTTGAATTAAGTTTTGAAAATTCTTTCCAAAACTCATAACCAAACAAATTTTCTTATTTTACATGCCAAATCAAACTTTCAAAACTCAATTCCACACTCAATTCAATACTCTATTCAAAAACCATAACCAAACAAATTTTCTACACTCAAATCATAATTTCACAACTCACAAACTCAAAATACAACTCATACTCTCAAATCATATTTACAAAACTCTACCAAATGCAACCAAAGTTTGTATGGTTGATCCACAAAAGTGAGTTTTGTGGGATGTTACTCAAAAACGTGCAAGTAGTCCAGTTGGTTAAGCAGGTCAAAGGCAAGGTTATAAAATAAACACAAGTAAAGAAAAAAAAGTTTTTTAGAAAATAAAAGAATCTTAAACATTGGAAATCAATCAAAGCTACTTGTATTGGAAGTCGGCCCGGGGGGGGGAGGAAAATTAATTGGACCCCCGCAAGGAGGCACCCCTGTGACACCCTCTCTTTTTGATTGGTCAATTTTTTCTTTTTCTTTTTCTTTTTTTCCTTCTCCTCCAATCACCACGCACCACGTATGTGTGGGGGTGGTGGGAGTGGTGATTGGAGGGGATCTCAATCACTTCTCGAAAAAAAAATAGTGTTATTCAAATTCAAAAATTAAATTCATTTTTTAAGTTTAATAATCAATTAACCAATCACTCTCATGTATTATTTGTCTCTCATATATTTTTTAATTATCAATTAATCATTTCACTTATACATCATTAAGTCTAAAAAATGGGTATAAAAATTGAGTTTGTATATCATTTTCCAAAGCTGAAATGTGTCGTCACTATGCAGGATCACAATGTTTGCTACAGAAAATTGGTCCACGTTTCAGAAAATTGAGTATTTTGTTTTCGTATTATTTTTAGTGAATTTTTAAAAATATTTTACACAATTTTTTTAGTTTTTAGATACACCTAATCAAAATACACTTACAAAGTTTAATATTTATGAAAAAAAAATCAAAAAATTCACCAAATACAAAGAATAAATAAATAAAACATTCAATACATTTTCATATTTTATTTTATTCAATGAATTTATTAAATATTTTTGCACAAATTTTTTACTTTAAAATTAAGTGGATCTAAATTCAAAAAAAATGATTAAAATATTTTGAAAAATCATTAAAAATACAAAAATATCAATTGAAAATTCAAAAAACTATTTTTGAAAACTTAAAACTAAATAGGGTGATTTATTTAATTCTAAGAGTTTTATGTTTATTTTTATTTTCTGTTTCTTTGGCAAATTTGGAACTTTTAATAATCTTCGACGAAACCTTGAAAAGAGGGAAAAAAATATATAGTCTTTTTTCTTTTTCAATAATAATAATATAATTTTTTAGAAAAACATGAAAATGGGATGTTATTCATGTAAAAATTAGCCAAGCCTAGCCCTGTCCTATGCCTCAACAACCATATAAAAAGACAATAAACTTCCAATGTAAATTTTAAAAAATAATTACAAATAATTAGTAAATTCTACAAAAAAAAATAATTAAAATTATAAATATTTTCGTGAATCTGTAATAACTTTATTAAACTAGTACTAAATAATAATTTTTCCTAAAAAGAAAGGCCTATACACCCTAAAGACTCAATAGAATATACACACTCTTTAGGTCTCAATAGAATAAAAAAAAAAATCTAAAAATTGATCTAGGTTGGGAAATACCCTCCCCAAATCCAATATATAATATAGCTAAGAAGGAATTGTTGATAAGAAGGAATTGTAAACATATTGCGTAGTGCGCTCGATGTATGCTTAGGATAATGTGGCACACGGCAAAGCAAAGTGAAAAGTTTGCTTCTCAACCGTATAATATATATAGCCCACAACTTCTCTCCGGTCTAAATTGGACCGTAGAATATTATTGAACCTTTATGGATTTATCATGAAATTCATATCGATAATTCAAATTATTTAATATGTAGAGTTCGTCGAGTATTTTATCCCTATAAAAAATCACGTTGATCGGATATCGATAACCACTTAATTAGCTCATATTTGTATCAACGATAAGTATGATTTTTAAAATAAATTATTTATTTAAATATGATCTGATCGATTAACTATCGATATCCGATTAACGTGATTTTTCTTACAAAGATGAAGTACTTGGCAAATCCTACATATTACTACTTCTCTCCGGTCCAAATTAGGCTAGAGGGTGTTGTTGGGGCTTCGTGGGCCCATCACGGAGCTCACATTAATGATTCGAACCGTTTAATGTATAGAACTCAACGTATTTCATCTATAAGAAAACATGTTAGAGGTTGGGTATCCAACTGGAGAGGAGCCTCTCACTATATATATATATATATATATATGTTGCATGCCATAAGAAAACATGCCATGTGCAGCAAGGTTGGCATATCTTTACCTGATGATTTGACCATTGTATATCGTCGGGCGTTATGTTTTTATTGTTGAAAGCCCATTCATATTCTCTATTGCACCATTCTTTTGTTGAATCTTGCAGACGCACTGAAAAAGGATTAACACCACCATACCAGTACAACAGATGGAGAGGTGTGTTTCCTTCAATGTCTTTCTGTTTTTTAAGATGGCTTGACCATGGGTTTTCTTTGATAAATTCAATCGCACCTTTCTTCTCCATATCCATGGCAACGTGAAGAACATTTTGTCCTTTGCCATTGACCATCTCCCAACAATCTGGACAATGTAACAAAATCTCTTTCATTACTCTTGTATAACCTTTAGCAGCAGCTATATGAAGAGCTGTCTTTTCGTCATCCTTGTCTGCAGTAGTAATGTATGCAGCTGATTTATCCTTTTTTAATATCTGTCTAACTCCCTCTACATTATGACAGCGTGCAGCATAATGAAGTGGTGTCCATCCATACTCATCTGCTTCCTTGATTAGATCCTGCTTCCACTCCAACAATCTTCCCATGCTTTGATCTGAAACAGAAACCAATAAAAGGTAATAAGGATAAAATAATACATATATTAGCAACAAAAACATACTTCAATCTTTCTTGAATTTTGGCAACAATGTCAATCCCTAGTAGTTCTATACACTTCTGTCCCCCTTGTGTCAGAAATCTCGTACAACATTTGGTGAATTTGAATTCTTGTTTTATGCTGACAATTATGCGTATCATTGTTCCAATTCCTGTTTGTTTTCAGCATGGAACTTCATTTTTTTTTTCCAAAGCTATTTTTTATTCTGTTATTATGAAACATCAATAATTATTGCAACTAAAGAGTAGGGGTTTGAGGAGAAGAATATTACTTTTATTTTGAAAATCTATTAGCATAGAAAATCGGATCTTAATTATTGCTGCTGCGTGCAATGCCGTTCTACCATCAGGGCCACCATAAGCCGGCGATGTGCTAGTTTCCAAGATTGCAGACACCACATCATCACATCCTATCTCAGTAGCCAGGTATAGTGGAGTTTCATCAGCATTATTGGCTGGATGTTGAAACTCTGGATCTTCTCCTGTTAACAATTTGACCAAATCCAAGTGTCCATTCCGCACTGCCATGTGCAAGGCTGTGTCTTTGTCCTCATTTGTCGCCCTCAAGATCTCCTTGGCTTCTCGGCCCCCACTTTCAAGTTCTTGGTCCAGTTCCTTCGCACAATCTATGAGTGCTTTGGCTACATCCAAGCGTTCTTCCCTCACCGCAAAGTGAAGAGGAGTCTCGCATTTGCTATTCACCCGACGTAATAACACGGGACACTCTTTTAAGATCTCTTCCACACATTGTAATCGGCCAAACTGGGCTGCGACATGAAGAACAGTGTTGTTATTGGGGGTGACTTGGTTATCAATTTGATCAATGTGTTGCCTGAGGACATCAACTTTGCCTTCCATGACAGCCTCGTACAAGTTAACATTCATGGTGACTGCAATGGGAAGGAGAGTACGAATTAGTGAGACTGCTATGAATTCTGTGGCTATTTGCTTTTTGCAAAACCCAAATGACATATACATGTATGGTTGGGATCATCAAAATGAGACTTGTGGTAGGGTCTATGGGCCCAAACAACTCACTCCAGTCCAAAAGTTAGACTAGAGGACAGTGGCGGAGGGAAGTGAGGAACAGGGGGTCACGTGCCCCCTGGATTTTGGGCTTTTTTTTTTGTTGCAAATATAAAGAAAATATTTTAAATAAAAAAAATTACAAAAATATTATTAAAATGAAATGTCAATGACATTTTAAAAATTATGAGAACAATAATGATTATTTTGATTGAAAATGAAGAGACTATTATAAATCATATTATCTATGAAAATTTTATAAAATTTTTTGAATGTAACGGTAATGTCATTATTATTGACATGCAAGTATAAGTAATCTCACTATAAAGATATGAAACTTATTACATTTGACATGTGAGGTTCACTCTCTATGTGTTTATTTACTATTAATTGGTGATATCACATACTAATGATGGAGTGGTATTACTATTATATTGAATTTTTAATCAAATTTTGTATAAAAAAATAATTTATCATTATATAATTTATTTTAAGACTTATATCTATATTTTTTTATATTGTCCATAATACACTAGTTATAAATAACATTATTTTTTTGATATTTCTCGAAATCAATCGTAAAAACTTGCGTGAAACATTTTTGTAAAAATTTTCGATATTGTAGTTAATAAGTGGCCCCTCTAATTTGATTTTCTGGCTCTACCACTGCCGGAGGGGATCCTAATCCTAATTAGATTAAGGGTTATGTCACTTGTTAAGAATGGATAAAATTATTATATTAATTAACCTCACTATCATAAAAAACTAAAAAATATTATATGAATTTTGTTAACAAGTATCCTTTGGGCACTTGTTAGGATTCATTAAATCCACTTAAATAACTCCACTACCATAGAAGATTGAAAAGATTATAAATGTTAGGAAAATGTTATGAACCTCAAATGAATTACTAAATTTTCTCCCAAATGTCTCACATGAGTGTTGTCCCACACACATGTGATTTGTACAAGTCTCACACCCATTTAAGAGGTTTGATAAAAAATTTAGTAATTCATTTGAGATCTCTAGTATAACTCTAAATGTTATATTATTAGAGACTAAACTACCATTTTCTTTAATTTTTTCTATTTTAATATTTATATATACTTTTCCTGATGAAATATTTTTTTTTAACATTTTTTTTTATACAGGTGAACACCCTTTATTTTTAAAAGACATTTTGTATTTTTTTAATTTTTAAATGCTCTTTATTTTTTTATGTTTGTTGTTTTTTTTCTAACAATTATAAAATTATAAATAATTTCATAATATTAATCAATAAAGGAATTTTATTTTTAAAATTACATTTCATGGATTTGTTTTTAATTTTTAAATGCTCTTTTACTTTCAATTATAATTAAACTACATGGTTTACGGAAAAATATAAAAAATTCATAATATTAATCAACAAAGAAATTTTATTTTTAAATTTACATTTTGTGGATTTTTAATTTGTTTTTAAATGCCCTTTATTTTCAATTAAAATTAAACTATATGGTAATAAATCTAAAAATTATAACAAATATAAAAAAATAAAGGGCTTTTAAAAATTAAAAAAAAAATCACGAAATGTCATTTTAAAATAAAGGGCATTCTCTTATATAATAAAAAAATGTTTAAAAAAATATTCCATTATGAAAATTATATAAAAATATTAAAATAGAGGAAATTAAACAAAAGTGTAGTTTGGAAGAAATTATTTAATGCTTCTGTAGTAATGTTCTATTTTAAAACAAAAGTGTAGTAATGTTCTATTTCATTTACAAGCTGACACTTAACACTTTATCTTTTAAAATTGTAACACAAAAGTAGTGGGTCCCAAAATTTAGAGTTTGGTAAAACATTTAGTAGATTATTTGGGGTCCCTAATATTACTCATTTAGGCCATGTTTGTTTGGGTGGACATGAGTTTGGGATTAGACTAATAGTCCAATAAAATTATTAATCCGATGTTTGGTTAAACATTTGAAGTACGGATTAATTATTTTAAACTTGACTATTAGTTAAGATAGGATACATAATCCAACGGATTCGTAGTCCTAAGACTATTAGTCATGGGAATACTAATCCAGTCCGCCCAAACAAACATGGCCTTAGACCATTAACTCTTCATTTAGAGCACCATCCAGACTTGTTCAGGAGCATTGAATAATTTCTCGTAATTTGCTCTCTAACAAAATAACAATGTATCATCTATAATTTTTTCAATTTTCCAAGAGGGTGAAGTTAGTTAAGAGGAATTAATGCATCCTTAAGAACACTTATTAACAAAATACATGTTATATTGTTAGAGACCAAACTACCAATTTCTTTAATTGCATCTATTTTTATATACTTTTCATAATGAAATTTTATTAAATATTTTTTTTATCATAAAATGAAATGCCTTGTAAATGACATTCGTGACTTTTTCTTTTTAATTTTTAAATTTCAATCATAATTAAATTATATGGGATAAGGAAAATGAATCTAAAAATTATAAAAGAATATTTAAAAAATTCATATTAAACTATCATTTTTTAGCCTAAAACCAAATAGATCGTTAAGGTATAGTGGTTTTTATATTGAACTTCCATTTTTAATCTTTTGCAACTTTCATTTTTATTTTTATTTTTATTCAACTTCCATTTTTATTCGATTTACTTTTCTATTAAACTAACTTTTTTATTTAATTTCCAAATAGATCGTTAAGGTATAGTGGTTTCTGGATTGAACTTCCACATTTAATTTTATGCAACTTTATAACTAAAAAAGATTCGAACTTGGACTTCTGTTTCAAAACAATCGACGCGTAGGGGGTTGGCCAATTTTTCCTGTACATATAAATTCCATTAGGAGGACCGTTATAAAATAAATGCAGCAACGACAAATAATGGGGGGAACATATTGCCCTTAATCAGAGTGTTTTGTTAATTAACATGCATTAAATCATCTTAACTAATGCCATTATTATAAAAAATTATAAAATTTATAAATGTTATATTGTTAGAGATCAAACTACCATTTTCTTAATTCTTTCTATTTTAATATTATTATTATAATTTTAATAATGAATTTTTTTTAAAATATTTTTTATTATAAAAGTGAATGCCTTTTTATTTTAACTGACATTTCTTGGATTTTTTAAAAACTTTTTACATGCCCTTATTTTTTATATTTGTTATAGTTTTTAGATTCATTTTCTTACAACATATAGTTTAATTATTATTGAAAATAAAGGATATTTAAAAATTAAAAAAATCTACAAAATGTTATTTAAAAATTATTTTTTCTGTTTAATATGAATTTTTAAATATTCTTTTATAATTTTTAGATTCATTTTCCTTATCCCATATAATTTAATTATGATTGAATTTAAAAATTAAAAAGAAAAAGTCACGAATGTCATTTACAAGGCATTTCATTTTATGATATAAAAAAATATTTAATAAATTTCATTATGAAAAGTATATAAAAATAGATGCAATTAAAGAAATTGGTAGTTTGGTCTCTAACAATATAACATGTATTTTGTTAATAAGTGTTCTTAAGGATGCATTAATTCCTCTTAACTAACTTCACCCTCTTGGAAAATTGAAAAAATTATAGATGATACATTGTTATTTTTTAGAGAGCAAATTACGAGAAATTATTCAATGCTCCTGAACAAGTCTGGATGGTGCTCTAAATGAAGAGTTAATGTCTAAGGCCATGTTTTTTGGGCGACTGGATTAGTATTCCCATGACTAATAGTCTTAGGACTACGAATCCGTTGGATTATGTATCCTATCTTAACTAATAGTCAAGTTTAAAATAATTAATCCGTACTTCAAATGTTTAACCAAACATCGGATTAATAATTTTATTGGACTATTAGTCTAATCCCAAACTCATGTCCACCCAAACAAACATGGCCTAAATGAGTAATATTAGGGACCCCAAATAATCTACTAAATGTTTTACCAAACTCTAAATTTTGGACGCACATAC